TGGTCTCTGTTGTTGATGTTGGAGTAGGGCAGCGCTCCTGACATCAGCTCGTACAGCACGATGCCGAAGGCGTAAACGTCGGACTGGAAGCTGTAGGGATTTTTGTCCTGCAGCCGGATCACCTCAGGAGCCTGAAGGAAAAGAAGAGGAAAAAGTTATAAATGTTAGATATAAACAAATGTATTGATCATATAAAATTATATTCATTCAGAAAATAATTTAAATTATTGTTTTGTAAAAATGGGTAAAATAACCCAGAGATGGACAATGAGGGAGACAGCGCCACACAGTGTCCAGTGAGAGCACTGATAACTCGTTTCCTTGTATCACGAAAAAAATGTTGCTAACTCGTAACTAGGAAAAGTCGTGTTTCGTGGAGCTCGTATCTCGAGGTCTCACTGTACATTATTGAAAAAATTCAATATATCTCCATACCTAAAGTATCGCAATATATCGTATCTCGATATGTATCGTATCGCCAGATTTTTCTTTTTTTTTTAATGCGATCTTAAAGCGTCAAACAAGCACTTCCTGTTTGAACGTTAACCCTGTGAAGCCCAAACTGACCATCCACAGTATCGACCCCGACAGCTGTTCAAACTGGTGCGAGCCGCTCCAACGCGACTTGACCGTAGCCAGGCCGAAGTCACCGATCTTCACCGTCAGATCCTCATGGAGGAAAATATCTGAGAGGAGAAGGAGTCAAGGAAACACCCGGGTCTGAAACCCGTCCTCGGTGCCGGGGTCCGAGGTTTTTTTTTTTTTTTTTTGTGTTAGAGAGGATACTGTTGCTCTTCAGGTCTCGGTGGATGATGGACTTGGCGTGGAGGTAGCTGGAGACAGAGAGGAAGAGGCGCTGTCATTGAAAAGCTCACAGACACCGTCAGTGATGTCAGTGCGTCTGTGGTTCTTACTCCATGCCCTGGGCCGTCTGCCGGGCGATGTCGATCAGCTTGATCATCTCGAACTTGGTCTCCAGGATGTGGAGGTGGTGGTACAGACTGGAGCCCTCGCACCACTGGGTGACTATGGCCAGCTGGGGTTTGGTGGTGTAGCCCATGAACAGCAGGATGTTCACGTGACGCGTTTTCCTGGGGAAACGGGAATCGACAAAACTGAAATTCAAGAACAATTTGGGAAAAACAAACTCTTCATCGAAGTCTACGGGACTTCTGCTGGATGTGGTCCACGTGGGCTGCACCGTCCCTTGGTATCAGTCTAGTATTAAACTACGTGTTCCACCAGCTGTCTTAGAACTTTTCGACTGTGACGTCGACTGTTGACCAGCAGAGGGCGTTACCTGAGGACTCCGACTTCGTTCTTAAAGGCCTGAAGTTGCTGTGGCGTTGGAGCAGTGACGTTCAACATCTTCACCGCCACGTCCCCTAAAAGAGAGAGAGAGAAGTCAAAACTATAGGGGTGTGCGCTGCAATACGAACTTTTTGCCGATATCCGATATTGTCCAAAACTTAATTTCCGATTCTGATATAGCGGGCAGTGGTGCCCTGGTGGTTAAGGCAGGTAAGTGTCGTCTGCTGTGTAAGGTGGGGGTTAAAGCTGTGTTTCTTTATTATTTTCTGCCATGCCCCCTAGTGGACAGAAGTTTTTTCACCCCCCAAACAGAAATCCTATTAAGCACCTGGTAACATTTATTTATTTATTTATCAATCAGTACAAACCACTGTACGAGTTCTTTAAATAAAATGAAAACAAAAAGAATAAAATGAGCTGCAATGCTGCCATCTAGTGGCTTTTACTTCTACATACAGCCGTTTTTCCCCCAAAAACTATTTATAGGGCGCACATCATGTGGCTCAGCGGAGCCCTCACTGAGCCGGTTCCCAGCAGCCTTTGTTCTTACCGTGCCACTTTCCTTTGTAGACGGTTCCAAACGACCCAGATCCTATTCTCTGACCCAGGGTGATCTGACCTTCAGGGATCTCCCAGTCGTCACTGGAGTCCCTTCTGCCCAAGGTTTTCTGTTTGACAACATGTGTGGTCAGTGCACAAACACACAAACACAGATCAAAGGTCAAAGGTCAAAGTCGTCGCCTCGACCTCTCACCATTTTATTGCGGTCCTCGGACGAAGACGACGACTTGCGCTCCCGTTGTTGGCACGGTGACTTCTGTGGAACTTTGACATTGGTCAGGGACCCGGGTAAGGAGGCGGGTGGCGTGGCCGACAGCCCCGTGGTGGAGCCTGGAGGGGGAGGGGGGGGGGGGGCA